AACACACGAAAGGTGAAAGTTCTGCTACGGGGAAAAACGGGAATAAAACGTGTCTAGCAAGCGTCCATTCCACTACAATTTACACATAAAGAGTTAAAGCACATAGGTAACATATACGTATCTCCTTCCCGGGCAGTGTTATTAGCCAGCCCAGAGCAAGAGTTATTTCTATGCATATTTAGCATCTGTCGTCAGCATCAGTGGTGTAATGGCCCCCTCCGTGTCACCCAACTCCACCCCTGAGCCACTCTTGGATAAGAAGAGCTTATTCTCTCTTTTTTTTTTCCTTTCTTTCTTTCTTTCTTTCTTGTTGTAACTCTGTGTTTGTTGTAACTATGTGTTTGTTAACCTGCATATTGTACAGTGTTGTGGAATATCTGTAAATTATAATAGTGTTAACATATGCAAAAAAAATGTTCAGACCTTTTTCCAGCCTTTATACAGCTTTCTTAGCAGATACAGTTTTCTTCTTGAAAACGCCTTCAGTTTATGTAGCAAGAACCACAAATTATCTTTGGAAAGCAGCATTTCCACACTGAACTTCTACAACTAATAATTTCTATTACTTAGCTTTATTGCTCTGATTTTCACAGCTTTCTCGTTGTTTTTCTAGCAGTTTTCTTTTTACTTTGCATTGCTCAAGTTCGAACATTTAAAATATCACAATCATGAAGGCACATTCTATTTAACCCCTTAAGGACACATGCAGGGGAGGGCTGGCAGCCTGGGGGGGAAAAACCAGTCAAGTGGCCCATTGCACCACCAAATCAGTTCACCATCCATGCCCACCTTTTCCTGGTTTTATAACGGATATTGATGTTATGCTAATCAGTAGCTCTTTGCCATACCCGCTCCTTCACGGCTCGGACTTTCAATGTTGTCAGAGTGCAGGCTGAGAATCTCTGAGCCTGTGCTCTGACTCACTAACTGAGCGCCAGAACCACGAGGGAGAGGATATAATCTGACTGCACCTACTGCTGGTGCGCACCAGTGGAATACAGGCGAATCGTTTAAATTGAATATGCTGGGGTCCCCAACTTGTGAGCTGTGTTGTCCGCCGGGCGCCTCTGTTGTCATGGCACCCTGCGTGACCGCACAGCTTGCACACCCCAACGTCTGGCCCTGCTGACACATACTGATGTTACTACTGTTAATATTAATACAGACATCAGAGTAAACATCAATAAACTGTGGAAACAGAGCTGATCCCCCCAAAGATTTGCTTAGTGGATTTGTTGTAAGATTAAATCATGCCTCCTCCTCTCCCTCTCCCATGCGCTGCGCTGTAGGCTGGGAGGAAGTGAAGAGTAATCACATTCTCCCAGCACAGCGCTACCTGTGGCTGCATGGGGAACAGCTGTTTAATGTAATGCTTGCAGGACGGCCACCTGCCGCAGAACCTCTTTGTTCCCATCGCTGCAAAGGGCTCCAGGCACTGCTTGTTGTGAGTGTGAGCCACTGTAAATTAGGGGCAGAGGGCACTTGCACTGCGGTAAAGACAGGTCTGGGCAGGAGGAGAGTGCAGTGCAATCCCCTCCTGTGGGTCACCAGTAGACACAGTGTAGACACAGTGTGTGTTTACATTAAAAAGCCTGCAGGGACCGGCTATAGACACCAGAACCACTTCATTAAGCTATAGTGTCCTTTAATGTGAGGTAAATTATAGATTAGTGTCACTAATAATATACTAGATTGCCTACTTACAACCAGATGAGGATGATGATGGGCTGCGGTTTGGCTCCACTGGTCTGGTGTAGAAGAGGATCTCTGAAGGCTGTTTGTAACTGTGGTCACAAAATTCAAAGTTCTAGTAGAATGGGAAGCAGCTCCATTTTTTGGGGGCCCCTTAAACAGCTCAAGGTCTGGGTCCCAGGGCCTGACGGTGAGTATGCCCATAAGGCCCACCTAAAAGTCCACCTACATGTTCCACCCATGAGTTCGCTCACAGGGAGTGGAGTGTGTAGGGGATGTGTTATGTGTTATTATATAGGATCTAATGTGTGTGCTTATGGTATGTAGTGTATAGGGATACCAGTTTGTGTAGGTGATGCAGTGTATTTGTAGTGGAGGCAGCGTGTGTTTGTGTATAAGCGATGTATTGTGTGAATCTGTGTTTGTATGCATAAGGGATGCAAGGTGTGTGTCTGTAGTGTGTGCATTGAGTGTGTGTATGAAATGCATTGTGTTTCTGTGTATATGTAAGAGAAGCAGTGTGTGTGTTTGCATGTGTGTGTAAGGGTTTGCATTGTGTGTTTCTGTGTATGTGTGCAAAGGATGCATTGTCTTTGTGTGTAATGGATGCATTGTGTGTTTCTCTGTGTGTAAGGGAAGCATGTTGTGTTTCTGTGTGTGTAGGGATGCATTGTGTGTTTGTGTATGTATAGGGATGCATTGTGTGTGTGTGCGCGTAGTGTGAAAGAGCTCCCTGTCCTGCCCCCTGTCCTATAGAGCTCTCCCCTGCCCCTTAGTGGTCCCTTTCCCTAGCAGTCACTTCTCACACCCACCCACCCTCCCTGTGCTCTTCTCATCCCCCCACCCCCAAACCTCTGGTATTCTTTTCAGCCCCCTCCCTCCCTGTGTTCTTCTCACTCCCCCCCCATGTGTTCTCCTAACCTCCCCCCATGTGTTCTACTCACTCCCTCCACCCTCCCTGTGTTCTTCTCACTCCCCCACCCTCCCTGTGTTCTCCTCATCTCCCCTTCTCTCCCCTCCTCCCTGTGTCCTTCTTACTCTTCCCCCTCCTCTCTGTGTTCTTCTTACTCCCCCTGTTCTTCTTAACCCCGTTCTTCTTAATCCCCCGTTCTTCTTAATTCCCCCAATCCCCCTGTTCTTCTTAATCTCCCCACCCCGTTCTTCTTAATCCCCCCACCTCTCCCCCTTCTTCTAATCCCCCCTTCTTCTTAATCCCTCCCCCCTTCTTCTTAATCCCCCACCTTCTTCTTAATTCCCCCTACCTCTTCTTCTTAATTTCCCCCCTCCCCTTCTTCT